TTTAAATGACATCTCCTCATAAACCACTGAGCCAATTTCATCCAAACTTCACAGGAATTGTTCAAAGAATTTAATTCCATGCAGAACTCTGGTTACCATGGCAACCGAAAGAAAAATCTTTAAATATCTACTTTAAACAACCCTAAGAGCTAGAGCTTAGATATTTGGCATGAAACATCTTCTAGTGAGTGTCTACCAAGTTTGTTCAAATAAAAGCCCTGGGGTCAAAATTGGCCCCGCCCCAGGGGGTCATTGATTTTCCCTATATGCATATAGTAAAAACTTAAAAAATCTTCTTTTAAAGAACCCAAAGAGTTAGAGCTAAGATTTTTGGCATGAAACATCTTCTAGTGGGTGTCTACCAAGTTTGTTCAAATAAAAGCCCTGGGGTCAAAATTGGCCCCGCCCCAGGTGGTCATAGATTTTCCCTATATGCATATAGTAAAAACTTAAAAAATCTTCTTTTAAAGAACCCAAAGAGCTAGAGCTAAGATATTTAGCATGAAACATGTTCTAATGGGTGTCTACGAAATTTTTTCAAATAAAAGCCCTGGGGTCAAAATTGGCCCCGCCCCGGGGGTCATTGATTTTCCTTATATGTGTATGGCAAAAACTTAAAAATCTTCTTTGAAAAAACCCAAATAGCTAGAGCTAAGATATTTAGCATGAAACATGTTCTAATCGTGTCTACAAAGTTTGTTCAAATAAAAGCCCCCGGGGTCAAAAATTGGCCCCCGCCCTGGGGTCATTGATTTTCCTTTTTTGTGTATAGCAAAAACTTAAAAATCTTCTTTGAAAAAAAACCCAAATAGCTAGAGTTTAGATATTAAGCATGAAACATCTTTTAGTAAATATCTACAAAAGTTTGTTTAAATAAAAGCCCAGGGGTCAAAACTGGCCCTGCCCCAGGGGTGTCATTGTTTTTAACTATATGTGTATTGTAAAAACTTAAAAAATCTTTTAAAAAACCCAATGAGCTAGAACTTAGATGTTTAGCATGAAACATCTTCTTATGGATGTCTACCAAGTCTGTTCAAATAAACAAATAAAAGCCCTTGGGTAAAAATTGGCCCGGGAGGGGGTGCTATATACAGGTGAGCGACCTCAGGGCCATCATGGCCCTCTTGTTTACTTTGTTAAGGACATAATACAAGTTTTTACTATGTTAAGGACATAATTTTACAATGCTTGTTAAGGACATAATACAATTTTCACTATGCTTGTTAAGGACATAATACAATTTTTACTTTGTTAAGGACATTACACAATTTTTACTGTGTTTGTTAAGGACATAATACAATTTTTACTTTGTTAAGGACATAATACAATTTTCACTATGCTTGTTAAGGACATAATACAATTTTTACTTTGTTAAGGACATTACACAATTTTTACTTTGGTAAGGACATAATACAATTTTTACTTTGTTAAGGACATAATACAAGTATTTCTTTGTTAAGGACATATTAATACAATTTTTACTATTTCTATTTTGAATATCTGATATCACAGGCCCTGTGTTCATAAATATCTAAGGATCGCAGTCTAGATCTGAATCAAATGTTATATAATATTATTTCAAAATTTCTCCATTGATTATTTTCATAGATTATAGTTTTAATACTAACATGAATATGGAATGGCATGAGATCATGAATTTTTAGAAAATTCTTAAAATTTACTTTACACAATAATTATGCATGTTTAAAATTTGATCAAAATATTGATATTGATCCTAAATTTGATTCTTTTTTTATATGGTTTGAATTATTTTACTTTGTATTGTTATTTTAAATTTATCCCATAGCTAGATTGTTTCTTTACAAATCACCAATGCTTCAGATTTTGTTATAATATCACATTGATTTAGCTGATGATGATCTATTTTTCATAAAGCAATGAAATTAGGATCATTTGATCCAGATTTCTTTCTTAATGAACATGTGGCCCAATCTTTTGTATGTATTATAGGGCCGGAGTTTTCTGTGATCTCATTTTTTTTAGAGAGTAGCCAAGCTAAATGCTTTATCAAGTAATGTAATGTTACTACAGTGTAACTTCCGAAAACCGAACACCCATGGGACTTCTCAAAAAGTTCGGATTTCAGAGGTTTCCGGAATTCAGAGGTTCATGATAATGTGGACAAGACTAAGCCACTTAATATCACTAACTTTCAAGGAAGATTGCTGTAATATCATATATAATAGTCTTTTAATCAAGATAAAGATGTGAATGAAAAGAATACGTTTTTATCTTAACTGCAAATGCTTTTGAATTTCTATCAGTTTGTAGAAATGTTGTTAATTGCATAAACTTACATATCGTCCGATGCTAGTTAATTAATTATTACATCAAATGCAATAAAATCCCTAAAGACGTTTGATGCATACATTGTCCAATTAATTGTCATTTAATCCGCTAATAAACACTTCAAATTAACTGACCGTCGTAAATTACTTTGATTAACCGCATCATTTCAAACATACCATTTCACAGTTTGTGATTTTAACGCGTGTCAAATTACACGATCACCGCTAATTAAGTAAACAATCGATAGGGAGATTAAATCTTCCTGCAGGGTAAACATTCTCGATTTACAATGTATTTCACACCTTTGGATATTTCCGGTTTTTGGAGGTAAAATTGCATTGATTTGACTATAATTTTACGAAAATATCGTCCGGAATTCAGAAGTTCCGGAATTCAGAAGTATTATATTGATAGAAAATAGAAGGGAAAAAATTGGGACCGAAAAAATTGTTCGGTTTTTAGAAGTTTCCGGATTTCAGAAATTCCGGAATTCGGAAGTTACACTGTATTATAATGTAATTTATATCACCAGTAATTTATTTTTCTAGTCTAACCAAATATGACATTAAATGTGTTCATTGACTTTATTAAAAGTTTTATTGCAACTTACATATTTGTGTTATTCCTTTTTTCCAAGTATGCAAATTATTGTGAGCCCTTTTCCCAGTGTCATCATGAGTTAGAATATCAGACCCATTCCCAATGGCAAACATGCTTATTTTTCTCCCAATCTTAGAAATTAATTCCCAATCCAACTGATTAATTAACATTATCAAATTTGCAGACGTTCGTTCTGGTATCTAATAAACAGATGTTTCAAATATTATTATGTTATTCTTTGACTGATACATGTTATTATGTTACAGTAAACATTGTCGCACAATTCAAATACTGCGCTAAAAGTGCAAATGATACCAAAAATATTTTACCCAATTAACCTTTAACCTCATAGACTTGTTTTGAAGGCTTTTCACCCCAACCCCCCTTCTTCAGACCTCGAAAAGTGAAAAAATGCCCTATTTAGGCCCCAAACACTGTTTTTCGTTTGAGAAAAGTTGTTACAAAAAGTGATGATCACTTTTTCAGTGCCGCCCCCTATCAAAAAGGTACATCAAGGTGATGCTAGAGGGGGGATATGCCCCCTTTTATTTGGGGATTTGAAGAGGGGCAGTAGCCCCCTCGTCGCCAAAACAATGTTGGACATGTGACAGGCTAGAAAAAATGGCCTCGGGTCGATCTTAAGATAACGGGTAACCAACGCTGAAAAGCCTTTGACTCTATCTCAATCCTTTGAGAAGTTGCAGCACTTAAAAATCAGTTTTGATGGAAAAATTGGGGGGGGGGGGGGGAAGCAGTTTTTTATCATGAGCAAGAAACTTTTGTTTAACACTCACTGTTTAGTACTAGTTGGTTCTAGCAATGGATCCAAGTGTTTCAATAGGCTTATAGCCAGTTACCCAGTTCAAACACCTTAGGAGATGAATTAATATAAGTATTTAATACTTATTTTCATGGCAGTGTCTAACATTAATATTTGCGTATATTCAAGATTTATGTACTTCAAACTATTTGTAATGTACCCCTAGTATTATTTTGTGTAGAAAATATTGTTTAAACTACCCCAAAGTAGGATGTGATGTTGTGACATTACCATGGACATATGGATGGTTTGTTTGATCGAGTTTTACATCACACCAACACAGTATAGATCATATGGCGACATTCCAGCTTTAGCTGTGGAGGAAGACCTCAGGTGCTCTTCCATGCATTATTTCAGGCACGAACGGGCACCTGAGTAGAAACACCGACTTTCTGTAAGCTAGCTGGATAGCTTCTTCTCATGAATGGATCCAAAGTCTTTGTCAGGATTCAAACCCACAGCGGTGATGGGCAAGTGGTTTGAAGTCAACGACCTTAACCATTCGGCCACAGACGCCCCATATGGGTGGTTAAGCTTTTTATAGAAAACAACAGAAAAACATTGCACCTAAAATGTCTTACTTGTTGTAAAGTTCTATTAGTTCTCTGACCATGATCTGTCAATCTGCTAACCTACCTCTTTAATTATAAATCCTAGATAGGAAACACTGCATATCTTATAATGTTTTTATTATCTCGATCTTTTATTTATGAATATAATTAATAATAATTGTGTAATCTTAACATTATTCTAACAATAACCTGTATTTTTTCAACAATACCTTGTTTCAAAGTTTGCATCCTTAAAATACATTTAAAAAATAATTTAAAAAAAAGGTGCTTAATAAGAAATATCAACAATTGCTAAAAAATGAGCTTGAACAAAACTATTTTTATAGTGCTTGAACAAAACTATTTCAATAAGGAACTTTTTTTTTGAAGTCATGTTGATTAGAGATTTGAGCCGTGTCATGACAAAATCAACATAGTGGGTTTGCGACCAGCATGGATCCACACAGTCTGATCAGGATCCATGCTGCTCGCCTACAAACCCTACTACAAGTAGAGAAACTGAAAGCATACAGTATGGATCCTAATCAGACTGCGCAGATGCGCAGGCTGGTCTGGGTCCATGCTGGTCGCAAACCCACTATGTTGGTTTTGTCGTGACGCGGCTCATTTTTCACAATGGAATGTCATTCATCAATATTGATACTGTGGAGCATGTATTTCAAGTAACAATTCATAAATATAAACCATAATAAATTTGGTCAAAATATGCAAACTAGAGCTCCGAGGACAGCGCCCTTTTCTTCCAGGAACTTGATCGCAAAATAAATGCCTGGATAATGTAGAAATTCATTACGACAATATATCATAAAACATCTAGATGTCAAGAGTTATGGCTCTTTGAAAATGATATTTAATCATAATGCTAAGTCAAGTTCCAAATGAAGAAATTTCATGCTTGTGTCAATAATACTGCATTTAAAACTTTAATCAGTAGTTTTTTTGAATTTCACAAAGTGCTGTACTTAAGTTGTAAAAATGTTAAGAGAATTAAATGTAGCACAAATTCAATTCTTGCTATGTAATTGGAGAATCAAATGGAGCACAATTTTTGCTATGTATTGTATTAAAGAACACACTAACTTGTACAAAAGAAGCATATGAAGGACCAAACCTTTTGTAAATGAACATTAAAATTTGAAATTGACTGAACGTACCAGAAACAAAAATCTGACTGTCAGTGAATTAATATTATTGTCAGCTGGCCTAACTGTAGATATTTATATTTAATCAAAAATAATTATTCTTTATTTTTATGTTTCTTCTTTTTCTTTTCTTTCTTTCTACTTTTAGAAGTGTCTTCAAAATCTGCTGAACTGTCCATGTCTATTTCCACAACTTTTTTTTGCTTTTTTAGTTTCTTTATCGGACTTGGTTCAGCAAAGTCCAAATCCTGTTTAACAATCTTTTCTTTTATTAATGTAAAATTACTCTCCCCATGAGTTCTCTTCCTGGATTTCTTATGCTTATTTTCAATTTCATGTTTAGAATCTGTCAATTCACTTTCATTAATTGAACACTCGGTTGTAGGATCAAGACTGTCGCTCTGAAGTAAACTATCAGGATCAATTTCACTATCGTTTGTATCATTTAAAACTTTATGTTTCTTTTTGTGCTTCTTGCTCTTCTTTTTACCTCCCTCGTTATTATTGACGTCGTCAACCTGTGTGCTAGTAAATAACGGTTCACAAGACGTCAATGAAGCAATACTGTCGTCTATATCTAACGCACCATTAACTAAACTTACATCTTCCTCAGTTATCTTCCTCTTTTCTTTTTTATGTTTCTTCTTACTTTTTCTAGGTGATTCTTCTTCTAATGTACCATTTACTGACAAATTATCCTTATCATGTTTTAGTGTGTCAGAAAGACCGTCCTGACTCAGTTCAGCCACTTCTTTTTGGTGTTTCTTTTTCTTTTTGGGAGTTACAATGTCATTATCCTCAATCCCTGTATTTTGCTCAATTACTGTACCTTCTTCTGCAGCATCCACATCCTTTTTCTTTCTTTTTCGTTTATCACTTTCAGATAAAGGCGTAATTAATAAAACCCTGCTATTTTCTCTGTGAAAAAAATAAGAATAAAATAAAAATACATGTTCAATAGTGACAAAAATCTACAATAGGTTCGATTAAAGATAATGCAGGTTTAATTAAACATTTCATAATAATGTTCAATTACAAACACTAAATATTTAATTACAGATCTATACCTAAGATTCAATATCAGATTTTTTTTCCATGTTAGAAAACAAACATTTAATTTACAGACATTACTGGGTCAATATATCATTATGAAAATTACAGATAACATTGGTTCATTTTTTTAGTTAATCATAATTCTGTTTAGTTGTAATGTTCAGGTTCTAAATATTAAATTACAGAATGATATTATTGGTCAAATTACAGATACCATTTATTCAATTACATATATCATAAGTTCAATTACATATATCATAAGTTCAATAACATATATCATTAAGTTCAATTACATATATCATACATTTAATTACTGGTACCATAAGTTTAATTACATATATCATACATTTAATTACTGATACCATAAGTTTAATTACATATATCATATATTTAATTACTGATACCATAAGTTTAATTACATATATCATATATTTAATTACTTGATACCATAAGTTTAAAATTACATATATATACATTTTTTTAATTAACTGATACCAATAAGTTTAAAATTACAATAATTATCATTATTTTAATTTTTAATACCATAAAGTTAAAATTAACATTATATCATATATTTAATTACTGATTACCATAAGTTAAATTCATTAATAAAAGGGGAAATAATATTAATTGATTAGAGATTACCATGTAAATTCCATTTTAATATATAATACATTCAATTAAACAGATACCATTTATTCAATTAACAATATCAACAGGTTCAATTTAAAATATATTTTATTTAATTAAAAGATACCAGATGTTCAAATAACCTGATGTCATAAAGTTCAATTAAAAGATGTCATATATTAAATTAAAACTATCATTATTTAAATTAACAGAATTATTCATTTAGTTTAAATTACATATATCACAGGTTCAATTACAGTCTGAGTCTTTTACAGGTATAATAGGGTATATTATTAAGATCAGATATAATAAATTTTTAATACAGGTCATCACATAAATAGTTTTTAAAAAATGTTTAATCATAATGCTCAGTTCCACAGGTTATAACAAGTCACAGTTTTGTTCATTTACTTTCCTTATATCCTAAAATACATGAATTGGTTTCAGTCTTTAATCTTTTTAACCCCAAAATTTCCCAAAAAAAATTTTAAATTTAAACAAAAAATCCTTTTAACAGCATGATTCCCAAACCCTTTTAATTAAAAAACAGTCCCTCATGTTTTTACTTTTTAGCTAATAAACAAAAATAAAAAAAAGAAAAAGTCACGAAAAAGCATTACAACTTTGGATATTTCCAAAACTTTCATTTGCACAATGGGCATCTGGAAAAACCGTCCACTATCCGAAGGCTAGTGGATTAGAAATGCTCACCATGATGGGTAATACAAAAAGTTCGAGGGCCAGGGATTCGAACCCACAGGGGAGTAAAGGGCAAGTAAAAATTTATACACATATTCATATTTATTGGCAAAAGCCTTAACATTTTGTTCATATTATAAAATCAAGAAATCCTAATCAAAAAATATATTTAAATGCTTCCCTTTTAATTTTTAGATCATTAACTTTGTTGGGAACAGACCATTAATAAACAGGATACTTTAAAAATTTCCAGCTTTAATGGTGAATGTAGAACAAAATATTGGTCATTTAATAGCCAAACTGTTACCATGGGGTTCAAAAAACCCACGGTGAGGGGGCAAGTTTATTGAGGCCAGTTTTTCCAGATATCAAAAACCTTGCCAATGGGTTGAGAGAAAGATTTCTGGTAGACTTAAAGTAGCTCCAACTTAGTCTGAACCATTGTAAAGAGTGTTTTTGAGCATTCATTATACAACATTCTAAAATATCAAACTTGCCATTTCTTTAACATATCTTAAATTGAAAATCATGGCTGCAAAGGCAAAATTTTAAAGTCCCAAAACAAAAAGGGCCTTTCAAATCAAACTAATTTTAACAGTAGAATAAATAAAATTTTTAGAATGAAAAAGACTTTACATGGTTCAGGTGATAGAAACCTTTCAAATTTTCCTCTCTGATTGAAAACCACATTTCTTCTGTGGAAACTTCTTGAACCTGATATCTTTAAATTTCTTCTCCCATTAAAATATCAGGCGGGAAACAATTTTTCTGTTGCTTGACATGTGAGGTGTCCAAAGGCAAATTAAAATGAAATTGTGCACTAAACATCCAATATGCCCTTTTGCTTATCTTGTTTTTTACCTTTTTGGCTGTAAGGGCCAATCAAAAAAAACATAATCATTATTCAACTTTGATGTAAAACCAAATACAAAATCTAGATAACAATAAATTTAAAACTTTGAATGTAAAATCCAAAAATTCTAAAGATATCCCCAATGACTTTTGCTGTTTAAACTAACGCGAATCTAGATATCACTTTTTAAACTTTGTTCTGAAAGCCAATCAAAAAATCTAGATTATTAATATTTTTAACCTTTTCTTCTGAGCCATCAAAAATCTAGGAAATCATTTTTTTTAACTTTTTCTGAGCCGATCTCACAATCTAGAATATCATATTTAACCTTGCTGTTAAACCAATTTTAAAATTTAGATATTTTAATATTTAATATTGCTGTAACCAATTTCAAAATTTAGAAATCAAATATTAGACCACTGCGGGTTCACCAATCAAAACACTGCTGTTAAAACCAAATCAAAAAATTTAGAGATTTCATAAAATCCCTAAACATAGCTTAAACATTGTTGTAAACCAATCAAATCTAAGAATCTTGTATGCTGAACTATTTAATGTACTTTAATAAGACATGTGTCTTGGTAAAAACAGCTAATCTATGGACCTTTCCAGTGGTTTTACAGTTTTATTGTAAATTGAAACTAACTTTGTTATCCCAAATTAGGCTACAACTGAGGATAATACATTAGTCTCTGGTTGAAACCTGTGGTTTTGCACAAAAAAACATGTGGTTATGTTTGTGGATACTTGTTAGTGAGCAAGTTGACCAAAGCAATGAATGGAAAAGGTCTGGCTAAATGTTCTGCTTACGTAAAATACCCGAAACGTTCCCGCATACTAGCTGGATAACTTGTTTACATGAGACAAATTTCAAAGTTTCAAAGGCCAAGACTGGTAATAAACAGGGATAATCAGCCATAACAAAACCACCATGCTGACCTGATTTTGTGGAAATTTGCAAAATTTATGATCAATTCCTGGAAGTGGAACTGGGATCACAGATGACAGGCAAATTAAATTTGATTGTATATATCAATTTGTTTAAATAAATTGAACAAACCATTCAGTTTTTGGCCAACGGCTGGCTTGAAAATGATAAAATCTGCTTCAATGTCGAAATGTATACAAGTATGGTCGGAAATAATCTTGCCAAATTGCTGAAGTGCTCGAACATTTGTGTATGCCAAGGGAAATCCATCCAACCTGTAATAAAGAAATGAATACTGAAATAATATAATATATATATTCAAACACATTTGAAATGGGACCAGGAAGATGGATCGCAGATGATAGGCACATTAAAATACTAATACTATAAAAGTATAAACTTGCTTTATTTCACGATGCAAAAATGCCCAATTTGGCTCTTTCCCCGACTCAAAACTTCCCAATGTAGTGGGTATAGGGCCTGTTCCCAATTGGGTGGAAAAAAAACACTGAGTGGAGACAAAATTCACAGTTTATATGGGGAAGTCAAAGGTTTGCCCACAATATAGACAACACCTGTGCATTTAAAAGGAAATCAAATGAAAAACAACTTTGATTTTTTGTATAGATTTCTATACAGTACCTATCAGTGAAATTTCCAGTGTTTTATCTAGCTTGGTCGCCATTTTCAGTGTTACTACCGTCTTCAGAGTGAAAACAACAGCGGTACATTAAGTACTGAGGGACCTATTTGCCTAATTTCATATTAACTGTTCACTATTTTGGGGAGCGAATTAGTCATATAAATATGACGTCGCTTTGTGATATTTTTACTTCTGGGCAAAGCAACATCATATTGAAATTACTTAAAACCCATAGCACTTTCCGCAAGAAAATTTGGCGGTACGAAAAAAAAAAATTAAGAAAACTTATACATATTTATAGTAATCTTGACATATTTATGAACTAAACTTAAAAAATAATTACCTTTTTTAAACAAAATAATTAAACTGTCACATCTGAAAAATAATGATTAAGTCCTCTCATTTAATTTAATTCCTTATACAGCCGACAAACAGTGCACGAAATCATATTGGCTAATTCAAATGCAAGCTTTTAAATGAGTCAGAAGTTACTGACGGAATATTTTTGAACAAAATAACAGCCCATGCACAGTCAGCGTGTTCGAATATATTTTTCCGTTTGGAATCAATCTGTAAAGCACTTTACTGAACCAGTATGGCCAACAGACAAAAATAGATTGAAATTTACATTGTTTGAGAGTTTTTGTTAATGATTGAACATGAAATTGAAAGAAAAGAAGATATAAGCATTTGATTTAAGCTTGAAAGGCAAGACAATAGCAGAGATCTGCCAAGAATTTGAAAGTACTGGGCCCTGGGCCCACTTGGTCTGAAAATGATGGGCCATTTTTACCAAAGTATGGGCCTTGGGAAAATAAATAAACATTGACCAAAATAACTGTTAAAAAGTTTGTAGATAATTGAATTTCCCCAGTAATAAAACTTAAATCATATTTTATGACAAATGGTTCACTTATAATTCAGTACTTTACCAATAATTATAAATTATGCCTACATGGTAACTTTCTAACTAATATTAATTGCAGGCAAAAATGAAAATATTTTTTAAATGGCTGCTTAAAAATTTGATATGCAAATTTATTCACATAATTGCTGGTTCTTACTTGTAATGTCTTATATTGTGCATTATCCATTTAATTGTTCCTACTTTGCACCAAATGTCCCTTACCACTGTATATTGACGAATTTTATTGCCCCTTGTATGCCTCTGTGTAGACAGCATACATCAAAGACATTTGCCGACAGACCTTTTGATCATGAAAAAAGTCATGCACAATGTTTCTCTGATTGGTTAGTCACCCTGTCAAACATTCTGATGACGAAATATACATCTTTTTTTACACTTCATAAGCCAAAACTTGCGTGAACTTGAGTGACCTTAGGGTTGATCAAGTTGAACACCTGTCAGATTATACTGTAACTTACAGCATTTCTTAAAATAGCAACACTTTTTTTCAGTTACCGATAATCATTTTAAATATTAAGTAGTTGTATAATTTGTTTGTTTGTTTTATTGGATTAAATTTACGGTAGTAGAAATAAGTATCTGTGTGGGAAAGGGATTATGAGAAGAAATGCGGTAAGTAGATAACATGGACAAAAGCTATAGGGGGATGGATAAACTCAAGAATATGCGTAATTACAGGAGCATGGGTAACATGTTGCTGTTGGTACCAGTTTTGACTGGATGACTAAATAACCCAGCAGACAGTTTTGTTTTCTTATAAGTCTGGCACAGATTTTAGATGCGCCCATGGCCCTTTGCTGCCGATTTTCCTGCGCCATTCTCATTTTTTTAGCGCCAATGGCGCAAAATCGCGTCCTCGGCAGATCTCTGCAATAGACTTTTTTGAATTTTTTATGATGCTATGCATTTATTAGCATTTAGCAATAACTAATATGAAATTAGGCATAATAAAGTCAGTTAAAATAAACATTATTTTCATTTTACATTTTCCGTTTTAAAAGTGCCATTAGGTATTTTATAAACTGACTGCTTTTGTTTATTCTGGTTCCCTGTCCTATTATGGTCCCTATAGAAGTGTGCAGAGGACCAGTCTACACATCAGTTTTCAATCAGAATTCCTTGGCTTTTATCTTTATCTTGTAAGTTGAAAAGTTGTGATTGGCTATTATCAGAATACACCGCCGTTTATCATTGCGTTATGGCACCCAACACGAAATGACACTGAAAATTTCGCTGATGGGTATAGAATTTGATATTATTTTCTTTTTTTTTCCTTTTTAAATATACTACTACTAGTGTCGACTATAGCCAGGCAAGCCAAAGCAATGAACCGCTTCGCTGCCCCAGGCTTTGACTTCCCCGTATTAGACGCCAGACTTGATTGACATAAATTATAACAAGCCTGTAACCTCTGATATATTGAACTATAGGGAGAGAATATGCAGGAACTTGTTTGGTAGAGCTGCCAAACAGTATTTAGATGGTCCCTGGTTCGAGTTCCGACAGGCACATTTTTTCAGCTGGTGACATGTTTACCAAGAGTCTCTTTTGGAAAAACGAAAATTGACTAACACTTGATGACGCTGCAAAAGCTTGTCCGTCAGTTGTTGGTGGACTCCTGCACGGACATTTCCCAGAAATTTTGGTGCCAATTTAATGTGTTCTTTTCTTTTTTCGAGTACCAATTGAGAGTTTTCACATTCATCCATAATCTTCTTTGCTTTTTCATATTTGCCAACGACATCCATAGTTGTGAATGCTGATAATTTTCCTAATTGAAATCAACTAACGTGCATTCATGGGCGCAGCCATTTTGATTCGGTGATGACGATAATTTTCACTCCGATAAAATATCCGGTGTGTAAATTTTGATTTAAGTGTACATGATTTTTGCAACAAGATTTACAGACGACTCGCATAGAGTTACATTTAATTATGGGTTTAAAATCAATTTTATGAATACAGCGTCTTCAGTTTCCGCCGAACTTATCTATTTCTATACTTTGGTAAAATTATGGACACCGAGCGCTTGGATTGTTATCGTTTACAAGCGTCTGTTAACAACGATGATTTTAGTTGATAAATAAAAAAGTAAAGTTTTAAAAGGATGCTTAAGTATTTACATCTGGTCTATCTGGTAAAAGCTTTTAAAATCATTATAGAAAACTCTTTTATCTAACGTGTCAAAATCTGATATCATGTTTTACTGAAATTGTTGTTTCTCAATAACTGTTGAACTTAGACCACAGATAATATGAAATAAGGCAAAGCCTATGAACGGGGAACCGAAGCCGTTAAAAAATTATTTTCATTCTTTCCGTTTTAAAGGTGTCATTCGGTATTTAATGCATCGCTTCCGTTCAGACTGGTCCCCTGCGCACTTCTAAAAAGAACACTTGGCGATTTATAATATGAAATTAGGCAAAGCCTATGAACGGGGAAGTCGGTAAAAAATCCTTTCATTGTTTCTGTTTTAAAGGTGTCATTCGGTATTATATATACCCGCTTCCGTTTTCACTTGGAACACTGGACGATTATTATTAATCCGAAAAGTTGAGATTTGTTCCGTTATTGGAATATACCGCCTTTTATCATTGAGTTACATTGTAAATGGCGGCGCCTATCTAGAACTGACACTGAAAATTTCATTGATAGGTATAGAATTTTATATATTTTTTAATTGTTTTTTTTAAAAATATACACGTGTAGTCTATAGCCAGGCAAGCCAAAGCCCGGACCCGCTTCGCGGGCCTGGTCTTTGACTTCCCCGTATAAAGACCACAGATATATATATGACTACAACGGATAGGAAGGTCCGAAAATTTACAATAGTCAGATTCAGACCCACAATCCTTTGTGCGCTTCGATGATAATCGGGTTTTCCCACTAGTCTTCAATTTTCGCGCTCTCGTTAAACTTCGGCGATATCCGTGAATTATTGTTTACATTACATCTACCAACAAGGATTTTCATTAGAGAAATATTTGTGTGAAAAAGTGTGTGTTGTACGTTTTAGAATGAATAACTATTGTGTCTAATATAAGTATAAAATGCTTCATCTTTTTTGTTGCTGTACATGTACCTCCAGGAATTCAATGTGGCGGTATTCTGGCTACTTTTACCCAGGATGTATTAAATCTCGCAAAATCCCGCAACATATGATAACTGTCGCTAACACAATTCCGCTGATACTGAATTTAACTGTGTGACGTCACAGTTTCTTCTTCATCTATATTTAGCTCCATGCTTAGATGTTGAAATAAATAACAAGGAAATCTCTGTATCTGACACGTACCAACAAGCCCAATATCGAAGTCGTCTATAAAAGCCAAGATCTCGGGCACATCTATTGCTGACCCATCAAATCCAAATTATAGTGAGGGGTAAAAGGCAGACTCTGCCCGACAGAAATTAGCAGACCACAGGAACCTGTCACAGTGTTGTGATAGAGTAAAAATTAAATTATTTTTAACTCAATCCCAATCCTGTGCCAGGAAAGTTTTCAAAATCATCATTATCTAGCAGAATTACCGTAAAGCTAGCATTGCGAGCAAACCCTTCTGGCCAGCTCTTTGAGCTCACTAATATGAAAATAGGCAAAGCCTATGAACATAGAAGTCTGATTTGTACCTATCTATTTTCACTAAATGTAAATTTGATCATGATTTGTCATGATATTACATATCTGATAGTATCATCTATTACAGATTGATAAATAAAGCATTTATTGTCACGCCCCCCATTTCTGAAATTTTGGTGCCAAAAATAAGTTTCTTGTAACACTCTGACTAGCATTATAAATGTTTGATTTACCACTGATCTTATAAACCAGTACTTGTCAATGGAATTTTCTTATAGTAACTTGTAAATTTGAAGAAATAACCTGATATCAATAAAAATACCTTGTTCATGTAATATGTTCTTGAAGAAAATTGTTTATAGGACTAACTGTGATGATTTTTTTTTTACATACTTGTATATATATTTAATATTCAGGTTTTTTTCCTATTTCAGATTCCATTTATTTATGTGGTGGATTGTGAAAGCTGTGAGAGAGACAAATGTAGGACTGTTAGAAATGTTATATATCAGGTAAGAATAATATGTGTAAGTCAAAGCATAATATGTCATATATTGAATATATCAGATATGTTTGTCAACAGAGTCGGTGTCATATATCAGTTTGGTGTAACTATGACATACAGTTGACTCTCGGTAACTCGAAATCCAAGGGACTGGGCATTTAACTTCGAGAGAAACGGAATTTGAGTAATGTGGATCTGCCGCCATTACGTTGACATTCGAATTTTTATACATGTGCCTGATTGAATGTGCAAAGAAGTAGGTTTGTTATTGCTGATAGCGGCAATGCTGCAATATTTAACCGTTGAAATGACGGTTAATCACTTACAACTACAAATTATAAATGAACGTAAATATATTATTCAAAATTTAATACATGTATATTAATAGTGAAATATAAACACAAACATTGCTAGCAATGTCATAAATGCAAGTTTGTCAGAATTTATCAGTAAAGCCTATGTTATTTATAAGCACTCATGACAATTCATTATAATGAAACACAATAACACATTTATTTCAACAATAATTTATCTAATATCTGAAGTGAATTGATCATCGGACGAAAACGAAAGTAGCAACTATCGTGAACAGGAAGTACATATTAATGTATGCAATTTGACGGAATATTAATTATACAAATGTCATTTACATTAATAACATGGCACGAGTCAACTTTCTTAAAGAAATGTAATTAAATTTTAATTTAGTTATCTAACTGTTAAAACCAATTAAGTCCTGAAACCGATTAAAGCCACTTTTACGACTTGTTAATAATACATGATGACCGGCAATTATAATTACCATGAAACGTTTGAATCACGAGTGACAACATCTCACCTTGATGTCGGCGACCTTTGATCAGTTGGCTGTTTTCACACTTCGACTAATTTAGATGAAAAAATGTTGGACTTTAATTGACGGGATCAAATTTTCTTTTTCGACTAAACAGGAGTCTCGGTAAGTCAAAATTTGACCTAAGCGGAGTTGAAATACAAAGATAAAGAAGGAAATTTGACGGGACTTTAGAAATTCTTCGACTAACGCGGAATTTTGAGTAAAGCTATTTTGACTTATTGAGAGTCAACTGTATATCAGATTGGTGTAACTATGACATATATCAGTTTGGTGTAACTATGACATATATCAGATTGGTTTTAACTATGACATATATCAGATTGGTTTTAACTATGACATATATCAGATTGGTTTTAACTATGACATATATCAGATTGGTGTAACTATGACATATATCAGATTGGTATAACTATGACATATATCAGATTGGTTTCTCTGAGTCTAATATCAGATCTGTATAACTATGTCATCCTTCAAGTTATGATAACTATGTCATTTATAAGGAATTAAGTCATATATCAAGTTTGTATATCAGGTTGGTTTAGCTATGTCATATATCAGGTTGATATAGCTATGTCATATATCATGTTGGTATAGCTATGTCATATATCAGGTTGGTTTAGCTATGTCATATATCAGGTTTGTATAACTATGCCCTATATCAGGTTGGTATAACTATGTCATATATCAGATTGGTATAGCTAAGTCATATATAAAGTTTGTATATCAGGTTGGTATAAGTTTATCATATATCAGGCTTGTATAACTATGCCATATATCAGGTTTGTATAACTATGCCATATATCAGGTCTGTCTAACTATGTCATATATCAGGTTTGTATAACAATGCCATATATCAGGTCTGTCTAACTATGTCATATATCAGGTTTGTATAACAATGCCATATATCAGGTCTGTCTAACTATGTCATATATCAGGTTTGTATAACAATGCCATATATCAGGTCTGTCTAACTATGTCATATATCAGGTTTGTATAACAATGCCATATATCAGGTCTGTCTAACTATGTCATATATCAGGTTTGTATAACAATGCCATATATCAGGTCTGTCTAACTATGTCATATATCAGGTTTGTATAACAATGGCATGTATCAGTTCAGCATAAATCTACATAGTATTGAAGTTCAAGACAGTCACCTGTCCATTTTTCTAAGATTATGAAAAATCTGTCATTGCATATAACTGTATAGGAAGTTCTTGTCAAATTATTGTTTGAAATATAAATAAATCAGCAAGAGATTCCCCTTTTTGTGGGAATTAAAACACACAACCATGAGTGTACAAGCACCAGTCAACACTACAATATAGACCCCGGAGCAAAAAGTAGTGATCATCGGACTTATGTACAATGAGACACTGTTTTTATTGTAATGAAAAAGAAAAAAGTTCATTTAAATTTTGATTTAATTTCAGGAATTAATACCTCATTATAGAGAAGTGGGGGCAAAAGTCCCGTACAAATGTCCGTTTTTCAAAGATCGAGACAAGTATATTGCCCAAGAGGAACACAAAGAGCGTGAATCAGCATCAAGATGGTCATGTGGATACTGCGGGAAAGCTTTCATAGGAGAGATATATTTAGATAGTCATTTTACTAACAGACATTCTGGTTCTATTTATAATGTAAGTATTTTGTCCTTCCTCATTAAATAATTAATCAGAAGCTAAAATCGCTTTTAATCAGTCAGTCTTTGTGCATGATTTTAAAGCAGCATGCTAATTTTCATGAAAATTTTGAAAATGTACATAAAAGTAAAATACTGTGTAGTGAACAAAGAAAGTAATTTAGACATTTGAAACGTCACTTACAATCCACATAAATTACCAAAAAGAGGTCAATATATACATAAATACCTCTTACTGCGTTAATAACGCAGTAGAATTATAGTAATTGATACTGCAAAATCAGTCATTAATCACACAGAACATGTAAATAGTAGATTAAAATTTATAATGAATCTTTTTACTTTTCCTAAGATCTTAATACATTTTTCTAATATTTGAATTACTTGAAATATTTTGGATCATCTGGAGGCTTGCAGCTTTAACCTTGGCAGAACTATTATTTTCATTACATCAGAAAAGTTATCATACTTATACGGGATATATACATAAATAACTATTACCTTCATTGAAAAATGCATGATCACTTGATATACTGTCATTGATATATAGCCTTTACAAGGCTTTAATTTCCACTTTATACATCACAACGATCATCAGGCCTAAATAAGACATTAATTTCTACCATTTGCTTTTTCGCGCAGTTTGAATTATTGCTCCATAGTGAACTTGGAAGATGTCTGCATAATCCAGTTCTTTATTACTATAAACCACTGAGAATAGTTGAGCATAGTCCAATTGGCAATTCTTATTATATTTATATGATTTTAAAAGTGCATCCATTCCATGAACAAGTGGTTATGCCTTTAACTTCAAATCACTTGCTTTTACTGCTATAGCTTCGAATCAGGGATTTCTAATCTTTCATGTGAGGAAGCTATCCAACAAGCTTGCAGAATGTGGATGATTCTACTAAGGTGTCCATTTGTGCCTTGAATAATACACAGAAGAGCACCTGAGGTCTTCCTTGACCAGCAAATCTGAAAAGTCGTTATATGACCTTAACAGTTTTGGTGCGGCTTAAAATCCAACAATCCATACAAAGAAACATATGATTTGAATAGTGCCTCTGGTCAGGTGACAGTTAATTAATTTTTATCATTTTAATTGAAAGTGGGAAAATACACATTTAAATTATTATTATGACCTAATTATAGTTTATAATCTTTGTTATCTGGTTTAGGAGCCGGATTCCGTCTGTCTGTCTGATTTCTGTGAGATATTTCGCTGTGATGTATTGATGGGTGTGGCTAAGCCAACATTCTGGGATGTAGCTTTATGTATGGAGGATGATATGGCAGATTTGTCACAAGACTGCATGGTGAGTTTGTTGTTTTATATGTCAGTATGTGGGGCACCCATGGCTGAGTGGTTAAGGTTGTTGACTTCAAACCACTTGTCCTTCACCACTGTGGGTTCGAATCCTGTAAGGGACTGGACTTTTTAATGTGAGGAAGCTGTCCAGCTAGCTTACAGACTATGGTGATTTTACTAAGATGTCCATTTGTGCCTGAAATAATGCACAAAGGGGAATGTATTAGGTCTTCTTCCACCAAAAAAACCAGGAACGTCGCCATATGACCTTTCTAGTGTTGGTGTGACATAAAACCCAACAAAAAAAATTGTTAGTATGTAATACATTATTCTTTATACTGAAATACCTAACTTTTGATGGTGCATGTAACATGGATTTTTATGATCTTGTATAAATTGAATGTAAAGTGTATAATATTTTGTGCAATTGGTATTATACATGTACAGACATTTAATTGTGTATATTTTAGGACTTGATGAAAAGTTGTGTACCGGAACATTTGAACTGGAATGCATCCAAAACACTGACAGGTATAGCAGAAATTTATTAACACTTCTACACAGTTTTGATTTGAAGTATGTTAAGGTCTTACAGAACTTCGTTTGTAGGTTCTCAGTTTTTAAACCTATTTTATTACTGCAGATTATTATAATATGAAATCTAACAAAAGAATTAGAATAAGGAAAGTGAAATGGATGAACAATACAGATTTAAACTTCACTGAGGTTTTTTACATGATAGGACTGGAAATACTGTTTTGAGATTTATGAACAACTTAATAATTTAATAAAGAAAGGTCTGTCATATTCTTTTATCTAAACGTGCAGAATATCTTTTACTATTTTTTCGATCTTCTACTGTGAAACATTCCATTATCAATTGAATGGGCGGGCGTCATGATGAAGATTTATAACTTGGTCAGCCACTAGCATTGAGCCTGGTCAAAACGAACATAAAAATACTGATGCCTTAGGCTTTATTAGTTTGACAATTTATCTCGATACTTGCATAAAAATTGTGCACTTAGGTTTGTATAAAAATTGCACACTCCAGTATACATTAACAAAGTAGAAAACATGAATTAGCAGATAGAGGCTTATGACCATGCCCCATTGTTGCATGTTTGTTTAATATGCATGACTCAGGGAGCATTGTTTAAACAGCATAATGCAAATGACAGCCCTGGGAGTTTTAAACTTTTATTATCAAAACATAATTGTCAAATGATAACGCACTAGCACATGGAAAACACGGCACAGGGTATGGTTCTTAATATGATATACAAGTAAAGAAATGTAGATTTACCGATTTAGAAGTATACTTTTATGTAAGAATAGCAGTAATGCACTTTTCTTTTCATTCATTAACATTTGCAGAAGCCTTAGAGACTTATTAAATCTTGTACCCTGTGTACTCGGGCTTTAAATATGTCCCCTGGCTTCTGAAGATGTCAATGCGTGAGAAAAGGTGGGTTAACCTTCACATATATTCTCTATTTTAAGGTGCGCTGTCAGAATCAGTTTGTTCGTATTTGACATGTAAGAAATATTTTGATGTCTCAAGTATACAGGTAAGATTGAAACACTTTCATGTACACAATGTATCTGATAAACTGGATGTACTTTGATTAATTAAAATTTGAGCCGTGTCATGACAAAACCATCATCATCATAGTGCGTTTGCGACCAGTATGGATCCAGACCAGCCTGTGCATCTGTGCAGTTTGAGCAGGATCCATGCTGTTCGCTTACAAACCCTATAACAAGTAGGGAAACTGATAGCAAACAGCATGGATTCTGATCAAACTGCACAGATGCGCAGGCTGGTCTGGATCCATGCTGGTCGCAAACGCATTATGTGCGTTTTGTCATGACGCGGCTCAAATGAGTTTTTTGTGACTTAATTAACACTCACTCAGTCATTGTCCCATACAAATAAATTATCTGCTTCATATTAAAGTGGATTTAACCATTTAAGCATTTCAAATATTGATGAAAAGAAATAGAAATATAAGTTTCATTTGGATGTTCATATAAGATATTACTGTAAAAATATGGTGATCAAGTTCTGAGTGATGTAGTATTATTATCTAGTAAGTAACGCCTTTATTTAAAAAGACTTGCATATTCTGCTTCACCATCTTCCATGTGGGACTCAGCTGATGTACATAACATTATTGCAATGTATAAACAGTTTACATAATTATACACAACATATTCACAAATATCATATTGAAATATGATAATTTTCATAGCACAAGATGAAAATAAATCCTATATTTATATAAAAAAAACTTGAATTTTCTGTTAATTACATACAGTTTTCTCCTTTTTGGCATCACAGTTTTAAATTTTATATATTGGCTGAATTTAGCAGAAAATAGTCCATCAAGACACCAGTGAAAATATGGAAAATATGTTTCACTGCAGTGAAAATGTGGAAAATGACAACACATATTAAATTTCATCAATATTTCTCAATATTTCATTTATAAGTAAGATGTACACTGTATTCTGATATAAATTTTTGACAGGTTTATTATAAAGAATACATTGCTAGAAGATACAAGGTATCATGTTATTTGCTGTGGCTACATTCCATTTTTATTTATGACATTGAGTACATCATTTTATTTTATGACATTGAGTACATCATTTTATTTATGACATTGAGTACATCATTTTATTTATGACATTGAGTACATCATTTTATTTTATGACATTGAGTACATCATTTTATTTATGACATTGAGTACATCATTTTCTTTATGACATTTAGTACATCATTTTAATTTATTACATTGAGTACATCATTTTATTTTATGACATTGAGGACATCATTTTATTTATGGCATTGAGTACATCATTTTATTTATGGCAATAACAGTGATTTTTCTCACTTAATTGGGAAGAGGCCTAAGCCTCTTGATTTTGGGAAAAAATATCGCTAAAATTGCTTATTTGGGAAGAAAAAAGCAGGTTTAAGTTCAGATTTTTGGGAAAACTGCATGATTTTAAAGAAAATCTCAATTGGGAAGAGGCCCTTTTTCGGAGTCTGTTATATAAGCAGGAAAATCACTGGGCATTGAGTACAACATTTTATTTATGACATTGAGGACATCATTTTATTTTATGACATTGAGTACATCATATTATTTATGATATTGAATTATTTTAGGTTACATGTATGTTATTGCTAGTGGTTAACAAATTTAAGTTTAATTATACAATTTTGTATATTCAATATACACTGTGTATTGCACTCTCATAATGGAGTGGTGACTTGAGAGTTAAGATGTCTGCCACTTAACAAAGAGGTCATGGGTTAGAGGGTCAATTGTGGGACAGATCTTTTAGCTTAACTTGATCTTTATTTGTGGGTCAGATCTTTTAGTTAAACTTGATCTTTATTTGTGGGTCAGATCTTTTAGTTAAACTTGATCTTTATTTGTGGGTCAGATCTTGTAGTTAAACTTGATCTTTATTTGTGGGTCAGATCTTTTAGTTAAACTTGATCTTTATTTGTGGGTCAGATCTTGTAGTTAAACTTAATCTTTATTTGTGGGTCAGATCTTTTAGTTAAACTTGATCTTTATTTGTGGGCCACATCTTTCAGCCAAGCTTGATTTTTATTTATGGGCCAGATCTTTCAGCTAAACTTGATCTTTATTTGTGGGCCAGATCTTTCAGCTAAACTTTAGGACAGATATCTCAGTTTTAAGAACGGTGACCCCCAAATTGTTTTCACTCAAAATGTTTCTATTATCATATTCTTGCAGCATGCCAAGTTTTAAGAAATAATATAGAACAGATTTAATTTTGCCAATATGTCTACATGAAAACTCATGAAAATGTCCTTAACAATTTGAGGTAAAACCTGTGTGAGGCATAAACTATGTGAGGTAAAATCTGTTTGAAGTATAAGCTATGTGAGGTAAAATCTGTTTGAAGTATAAGCTATGTGAGTTAAAACTTGTTTTAGGTATTTACTATATGTCAGAGGTAAAACCTGTGACAGGTATTTACTATGTAAGGTATAAACTATGTGATGTATTACCTGTGTAAGAAAAATCTGTTTAAGAAAAAAATATATGAGGTAAAACCTGCCTGAGATGTAAACTATGTCAGGTAAAACCTGAATGAGGTATATACTATATGAGGTAAAACCTGTGTGAGGTAAAACCTGTTTGAAGTATAAACTATGTAAGGTAAAACCTGTTTAAGATATAAACTATGTGAGGTTTTACCTCACTTTGAGGTTTTACCTGTGAGGTAAAACCTATGTGAGGTATTAACTATATGAGGTAAAACCTCTGTGGTATATAGTATATGAGGTAAAACCTGTCTCATGTATAAACTATGTGAGGTAAAACCTGTTTGAGGTATTTACTATGTGAGGTTTTACCTGTGTCAAAAGTGTTCAGGTACTTTAAATATATTTTCAAATTTAGTTTTATATAAATCTGTGTTCCAGAGTGTTTTCTTTATTTCTTATAAAAAACATTCATCTCTGATTTAAGCTTTATCCATGAACATTTTAGAAATCTAATAATGGCATTTTCTTAGGCAAACTTTATAAACTGTTACAAAGTCATAAAAATATTTGAGTCAAATATTGAAAATTTTAATTTGGACTAAAGGTTCTATTTTGCAAGAAACATTTACAAAGCAATTTTTGGCTATATTTTTTCCAATACATGTATATTTTTACATAGAAACAGCGTATTAGCCAGGTAAGTTTCTGGTGTTTAAAAGGTTTAAACCAATAAGCAGGCTTTCCACTTGGCCATCCTTTTACCCCTGCCATGTTTTAAAAATACCTGTTTTGTAAACAAAAGAAAGGAGTGAGCGATTTTGGAAAAAAATAAATTCTGATAACATTTGTACATTCTTAAGATTGTTGTTAGCTGCCATTGGTGTCTTTTCATGGGATTTGGCTTGTATGACAGCTTAGAATACATTTGTGACTAAGAAATTATGTACTGGTTGCAAAATGGTTGTTGATAAATAATCAAACAAAAAAACATTAAAAAATTCCCCCAAGAAATGAGGAGAACACACCATGACAGTTTTTAGCGTGGCTTTGTTTGATCGTAACCAAATATATTAGTAGTACATTAAGTAAATGCCCTGTTTTCCATACATATAGTATGGTAATTAAATGTTCCTGTATCCCTACTTTTTACTACAGAAATACATCAAAAATATCTTATTTTTCGATTTTTATTATGGAGAGAGGTTTTTTTTTTACCCAACTGTGGTGAAGGTGGAAGGGGTGAAGAAAGCCTGTTCACAAGGTGTAAGATTGGTTTATATTTATAAAGTGTGAACCTCTAATATTCACAAGGTTTGAACCCCCAGGACCTGCAGAATGAGCTCATCATGTTCACAAAATATGAACAAAGTAAATGAGCCGTGTCATGACAAAACCAACATTGTGCGTTTGCGACCAGCATGGATCCAGACCAGCCTGCGCATCCGCGCAGTCTGATCAGGATCCATGCTGTTCCCTTACAAACCCTATTACAAGTTGTGAAACTGATAGCGAAGAGCATGGTTCCTGATCAGACTGGGCGGATGCGCAGGCTGGTCTGGATCCATGCTGCTCGCAAACCAATTATGTTGGTTTTGTCATGACACGGCTCAAATATAAAACTTTGCTAATCCCACTATCTTCACAAGGAGTGCAGACACTTGGTATTAACAGTGTTCTAATAATTCTAGAATATTCAGAAGATATGAAAACAGGATATTTGTACTTATAAAACTTAAAGTGATCTTCAGCTTTTCAAAAGTTTAAATATGTTATTTTAAGATAAATCATTTATTATAAATGTCAATTTGAAACAATTATGGTATAAAATTAAATTTGCAATCGATAACTATGTGATATTTTATTAGGTCAAATTATATTATGTGTTTAAAAATGTTTTAGTAACAGATTAGGAGCATTTTAGATGTTAAACAACTGAAAAAAGTAGCATTGAATATGCGGTGCAGTGTTCGGTAGGGTTGGAAAATGTAATGACTTCCATACAAAATACTATGTACGAAATCAGTATAATTATAACAATTACCAAAATAGGCCAAAAGAAATGAATGATTTAGTATAATATTAACTACAGGATATGGTGATAATTTTGCTGCTGACAGGCATGAACGTAAACCATCAAATATTATATACATTTTCTTTGGTACATTATCATACAAATGTTTTTGATTGGTTATGTAATCTAAAAAGTAGTTGGAATGTGAGTTTTTGATTGGTTATTACCAAAACAGTAGTATGAATGTGAGTTTTCGATTGGTTATTTCCAAAAAAGTAGTGGAAATGTGAGTTTTTGATTGGTTATTACCAAAAAAAGTAGTGGAAATGTGATTTTTTGATTGGTTATTACCAAAAAAAGTAGTAAGAATGTGAGTTTTTGATTGGTTATTACCAAAAAAAGTAGTAAGAATGTGAGTTTTTGATTGGTTATTACCAAAAAAAGTAGTAAGAATGTGAGTTTTTGATTGGCTATTACCCAAAAAAGTAGTAAGAATGTGAGTTTTTGATTGGCTATTACCCAAAAAAGTAGTAAGAATGTGAGTTTTTGATTGGTTATTACCAAAAAAAGTAGTAAGAATGTGAGTTTTTGATTGGTTATTACCAAAAAAAGTAGTAAGAATGTGAGTTTTTGATTGGTTATTACCAAAAAAAGTAGTAAGAATGTGAGTTTTTGATTGGCTATTACCCAAAAAAGTAGTAAGAATGTGAGTTTTTGATTGGTTATTACCAAAAAAAGTAGTAAGAATGTGAGTTTTTGATTGGTTATTACCAAAAAAGTAGTTGGAATGTGAGTTTTTGATTGGTTATTACCAAAAAAAGTAGTAAGAATGTGAGTTTTTGATTGGCTATTACCAAAACAGTAGTGGGAATGTGAAGTTTTTGATTGGTTATTACCAAAAACAGTAGTGGGAATGTGAGTTTTTGATTGGTTATTTACCAAAAAAAGTAGTGGGAATGTGAGTTTTTGATTGGTTATTACCAAAAAAAAAAGTAGTGGGAATGTGAGTTTTTGATTGGTTATTACCAAAAAAGTAGTGGGAATGTGAGTTTTTGATTGGTTATTACCAAAAAACAGTAGTGGGAATGTGAGTTTTTGATTGGTTATTACCAAAAAAAATAGTAGTGGAATGTGAGTTTTTGATTGGTTATTTACCAAAAAAGTAGTAGGAATGTGAGTTTTTGATTGGTTATTACCAAAACAGTAGTGGGAATGTGAGTTTTTGATTGGTTATTTACCAAAAAAGTAGTGGGAATGTGAGTTTTTGATTGGTTATTACCAAAAAAGTAGTGGGAATGTGAGTTTTTGATTGGTTATTACCAAAACAGTAGTGGGAATGTGAGTTTTTGATTGGTTATTTACCAAAAAAGTAGTAAGAATGTGAGTTTTTGATTGGTTATTACCAAAAAAGTAGTGGGAATGTGAGTTTTTGATTGGTTATTTACCAAAAAGTAGTGGGAATGTGAGTTTTTGATTGGTTATTACCAAAAAAGTAGTGGGAATGTGAGTTTTTGATTGGTTATTACCAAAACAGTAGTGGGAATGTGAGTTTTTGATTGGTTATTTACCAAAAAAGTAGTGGGAATGTGAGTTTTTGATTGGTTATTACCAAAAAAAGTAGTGGAATGTGAGTTTTGATTGGTTATTACCAAAAACAGTAGTGGGAATGTGAGTTTTTGATTGGTTATTTACCAAAAAAAAGTAGTGGGAATGTGAGTTTTTGATTGGTTATTACCAAAACAGTAGTGGGAATGTGAGTTTTTGATTGGTTATTACCAAAAAAAAAGTAGTGGGAATGTGAGTTTTTGATTGGTTATTACCAAAACAGTAGTGGGAATGTGAGTTTTTGATTGGTTATTTACCAAAAAAGTAGTGGGAATGTGAGTTTTTGATTGGTTATTTACCAAAAAAGTAGTGGGAATGTGAGTTTTTGATTGGTTATTACCAAAAAAGTAGTGGGAATGTGAGTTTTTGATTGGTTATTACCAAAACAGTAGTGGGAATGTGAGTTTTTGATTGGTTATTACCAAAAAAAAAGTAGTGGGAATGTGAGTTTTTGATTGGTTATTACCAAAAAAAGTAGTGGGAATGTGAGTTTTTGATTGGTTATTACCAAAAAAGTAGTTGGAATGTAAGTTTTTGTTTGGTTATTACCAAAAAAGTAGTGGGAATGTGAGTTTTTGATTGGTTATTACCAAAAAAGTAGTGGGAATGTGAGTTTTTGATTGGTTATTACCAAAAAAAGTAGTGGGAATGTGAGTTTTTGATTGGTTATTACCAAAAAAGTAGTGGGAATGTGAGTTTTTGATTGAGTATTACCCAAAAAAAGTGGTGGAAATGTGAGTTTTTGATTGAGTATTACCCAAAAAAAGTAGTGGGAATGTATTTGAACTGTCAATAAAAATGTTTTGATATTTTATATTAACTAAAGGAGGAAGAGGTGGTGGCGGTGTCGTACATGCACGTGATTCTCACGGTCGTTCTCGTCATCGTCTCCATGTTTTATTATTGTCTGTGTGTCATCCACTTCTGGTAAGTACAATTTACAAATATTTCATCATTTAGTAGATTAAAGATGTTAATTTAAAGATATACTATGCTTATCCTTGAGAAAAATATTTTAACCAAAGAAATATATTGAAATCTTTGAAATTCTTACTGAATATTTCTAATTTGAATAAAAGAATGAAATAAACTATGTTTGGGAAGCTGTGTTCCCTATTACAGATTAAGTTAAGTTGGCCTTTATAAAAAAAAAAACTGTCAGTATTTTTAATGGCACTATATAATATATATTCATTATTGTGATCATCTATAGTATCTAGGATTTTAAACATAACATATCTACTTAATGTCAAGAGACTGTGTGTAGCAATTATCAATATTTTCTATTATCAAAATTAATATTAACATAATGTATATCTATAAATGGTAGCATATTGATAATTGTAAATAGATCTATGGTTGTTTAATGATGAAATGGATATTTATGGTAAATATTTCGGCAAAATTTAAACAAAATAGAGTGATTTCATTGACAGACAAACTGTGGCAAACTGTAAAGATGATTTGTACCTTTTCCCTTTTCATCACTTTGGATGGCGTTCACAATTTTGTGCGGAGAATATCTCCTACATGTATTGAGGAATTTTATTGATACAGGGCATATCTCCTATATGGATATCTATAATCCAACATCTCTGACAAAAGTTTTTCTGATGGTGTATTTTGCAACAATGTTGCTCTTGTTTGTGAATGATATAATATATGCTATCTTACATTTTTTAACAGTAACTAAGAGTACTGTGTAACAATATTTTTAGCAATCTTTCCTTTCATCACTGAGTGAATGGGTAAACCTGTTTTGGATAATTTGTTTCTGACAAGAAACAGGATCAGGGGGCATTTGTGGTTATCTTCTTCACCCATAAACTTCATTAGACTGTTCCAAATTCTCAGCAAGGCAAAACATTACACAAATTCTGCAGGTTAAAGACAAAAATGTTAAAGTGTTAATCATGTTATTATACCCTTCCCCACCATATAATGTGGAGCTGGCTTTATTGGAATCACTTTGTGGTGTCAGTTTGTCCGTGAATCAGTTTGTCTGTACTGTGTCTGCTCTATCCTGCACATTGGAGATTTTTTTTCCAAACTTAACCAACAAAAATAATGATATTTGGACC